CACCAACCAACTTATACTAGGTAAGGTAATCGACATCTCCACATATTGTTTCTCTAATAAACATATAATAGACAAACAAACGGCAATCGATATACCTGCTTTGAATCATTTTTCGTAATAAAAAGGCAGGAGACGAATGATGAGGATGACGAACAAAACGCATGTCGTCGTTGCAACGTAGCATTCGTTGCTGGGCCAGCGATCAACCATAACCCTCGTTCTGCTCGGCGTGCGCCGGTGCCCGGTGGATAGAGCTAGCGGAAAGGAAAGATGCATGGTGGCGGCGGTTTGGGTCCCTTCGCTTTCTGGCGTGCTGCAGCCCACGGACCTTGGCGCTCGGGGACCCCTGGCGGCACGCCGCGTGCCTCCCTACGCCCGCCAGCCGGGTTGCTTTTGGGGAGCCACACTAAACACCGTGTTTTGGCTCTGTTTGATACATTATCGACTTTTATAGGTAGCTGACCAATAGCTCATAATTAATATTAGATAGCTAATTATTAGCTGGTTTGATTCAACTAGTGAGATAGTTGTTCATTGTGTGTTCAGCTAACAATTAGTTGACTATTAACTAGATTCATTTGGATCAATGCAAGTAAGCTAATTATTAGCAGATAACTATATTAAGGGTCTAAAGCTAATTGCAAGCTCAACACAGAGCCGGGAGTACTTTTGCTCTTCGCTTAGTAATTTGCAATCTCCGATCCAGAAACTCCATCTGGATAATCCAGCCATGCGCTGCCCTGCTTCCAGTTTCCAGCCACACTGTTCCCTGCTAGTGCTAGGGTAGGCATAATAATGGAACCGTGATGCATGGGCCATTCTCTGCACCATAATACTCCTACATTGTAGACTATCTTTCTACTGTTCGCTATTTCTATTTGTTCTTCTCTTTTTGTTGTGGGAATTTATACTATGCCGATCCGACCTGATAGAGAGATCACAGATGGCTAACCAGATGGCGTAGATCCACATCAATAGATTGCCACCGTGTCCTATCCTGCTGTAGTGTAGCGCAAGGGAACATATAAGGTGCAAACCAGACTTTTAATTAGATCCACTCGATGCTTATCCAATGAATGAGGTGAGAGGTGGGACGATTTTGCGCCTAAACCCTCCCACCTGCCGGCCTTTTTTCGGAAAACCCCCTAGCGATCCGCATGCGCGTGCAGCGATCCCGCCGCGGAAGGGAGATGCGCCGTCAGAACTTTCCTCGCGTGCAGGCGCCGCTGATCCGTTCCTCGCGTGCAGGCGCCGGCAGTGCGCCCGGCCTGATCCCTTCCTCGCGTGCAGGCGATCCGGCCAGTTCAGCCTGCTGTGGATCGGTCAGCAGCAGTGCCTAGGCTTCGACGTGCGCCCGGCCTGGTGTGCTTGGCCAGTTCGTTTTTGCGTGCGCACTGCCATCTGCGAGGTCCAGCGCGGCTCCTGCGTGTGTAAGTTCTTTTTAGTGATCTTTCTTTTCGTTTTCGTTTTCGTTTTCGTGGTCCGTTTTCCTTTTCGTTTGATTGCAATTTCTGCCAATCTAATTGCCAGAGAATGTACTCGGACGACGCGACGATGCGGAACGACGGCGACAGCCAACAGCAGCAAGAGATGCAGCAGCTATGGATAGGGAACCACGCCCTCTCTGAAGCCGTCGTTGTTGATCCCGCCATCGCGGAACTTACAGGAAGAAGTTTTGAGGCCGCCACCATGGATCAGTTGAAGCCTGTGGTTGGAATGATGTTTGATACACTTATAGATGTGGAGAAATTTTACAAATCGTATGCACATGAAGCTGGTTTCTCTGTTCGTGTTGGTCAGCACAAGAAGCAAAATGATGAATATTATTCAAGCGGTATTATTGTTCAAGGGAAGGGTATAGAAAGGAGAACGAAAAAAATATTATTGACGAATCCGGAAAAAAAGAAAGACGCATAATGTGATGGAAACCAGATGTGGTTGTGAGGCACATATTGTTGTCAAGCTTGGCACTGACAAGAAGTAACATATAGCTTCAATGGTTGAGGAGCACAGCCATGGTTTTGTGTCACCAGATAAGAGGCATTTGCTAAGATCCAACCGTAATGTTAGTGAGAGAGCAAAGAGTACCTTGATCAGTTGTCATAAGGCTAGCATTGGCACCTCATAGGCATATAGACTTCTCCATGTCAGTGAGGGTGGGTTTCAGAATGTTGGGTGCACGCTGAGGGATTTGCAAAACTATTACCGTGACCTCAGGAGCAAAATCAAGGATGCAGATGCACAAATGTTTGTGGCACAACTTGAGCGAAAGAAGGAAGTAAATCCTGCCTTCTTTTATGACTTTATGGTGGACGAACAAGGATGACTTTTTCGTGTGTTTTGGGTAGATGCCTTATGCAAGAAAAACTATAGTGTTTTTGGTGATGTGGTTTCTATAGATTCAACATACACCACTAACCAGTATAACATGAATTTTGTGTCATTTACTGGAGTCAATCATCACTTGCAAAGTGTTCTCCTAGGGGCAACATTCTTGGCAAATGAAAAGTTCGAGTCATATGAATGGTTGTTTAACACCTTTCTGAAGGCTATGCGTGGAGTAGCACCTCATCTAATCATAACAGATGAAGATGCAAGCATGAAGGCTGCTATTGCTCAGATTCTACCGGATACAACTCACAGACTTTGCATGTGGCATATTATGGAAAAGATACCTGAGAAGGTCGGGCCCTCTATAAGACAGGATGAACAGTTTTGGGATAGACTACACACGTGTGTTTGGGGCTCCAAGACTTCAGATGATTTTGAGTCACAATGGAATTCTATCATAATAACTTTTGCACTCATGGGAAATGATTGGTTTTCCACAAAGTTTGCCATGTGTCAATCATGGATTCCGGCATACTTTATGGACATACCTCTAGCAGGAATCCTTAGGACTACGTCACGATCGGAGAGTGCAAATTATTTTTTAATCGTTTCATTCATCAAAAATTGACCTTTGTTGAGTTTTGGCTGAGGTTTGACACAGCTTTGGAGTGCCAATGCCAAGAGGAGTTAAAGGCCGACAATGCAAGTCTTCACAGGACTCCTAAATTGATAACACCATGGTCCATGGAGAAGCAATGTAGTGTGATATATACACATGAAGTTTTCAGTAAATTTCATGAACAAATCGTAGCTGCAAGAGACCATTGCATTATTCAGGGCATTATAGAGTGTTAAGATATAAAAATTGTCACCATCAACAATATATCTTGAAAAGAGCGAGTGGTTCAGTTGAACAAGTCAGACATATTTGGTAGGTGCTCCTGTAAATTATATGAGTCCTATGGCATCCCGTGCCATCATATAATACAAGTGCTTAGAGCCGAGAAGCAAAATGAGGCACCATCGATTTATATTATGAAGAGATGGAAGAAAAGACGTAAAAGGTTTGTATTGTATGATTTTTTTTTCTATGGTTGTTTTGTACAATAGTCTTGATCAGATATTTAATTTTATAGGGAACTATTCTTTGATGAAGAAGGTAACCTGCTAGATGAAAAGCCTGAAAATCCTATGGAGGTGGCAATGCGGAAAAAGATTTTAGATTCACGGAACCAGTTTGAAGATCTCATCCAGATGGCCAAGAACTCTGAACAAGGATGGACTTTTTATTTTCTAGTTTATCCAACCTAGTAGAACCTCTTCAAAAAATCACGCCTTCTACAAGAGTTAATAAATAAGATGAGTATGAATCTTTCCTTGGTAGTAAAATTCCAAATCAAATCGATATATATCCACCAAATGATATCTAAGTCCAAAGGGAGATGCAAAAGAATTAAGAAGAGCAAGGAGATGAAGGCTGCAAGCAAGGGTAAAAGTAAATGAACGTGTGGAAAATGTAAGCAAGTAGGAGATCATGATGCACGCACTTGCCCAAACAATATTGTTGGCTGATATTTCAAGTTCGTGTAAACACTTTTGATTATTTTGATCATATTCAATGTACTCTGTTATGATAATCAAGCTGATCTTCCAAGCTTCTATTGCTCTGCTTGCTGAAATTTCATCTACTTGTGTCTTCGTCCATTGCTGATATTATGATCTGGTTGTAGGTGTTGATCATTCATGATGGCAGGATGCCACAGTGAATTAGTAAGCTTAACTCTGAAATAGTTCATTAATTTTCTCATTCTTAAGTCTGTCTCTACCTTTTATTGCAGTTGGAAACCTTTTCAGATCAATTATGGCAATTTTTTATGACGACAATGAGATACCTATAACATACATGCGTGATACATATCATTCAAATTCAAAAAGATGGATTAGGGTCCAACACCAGATTCTTCTGATCATTCATGTTCAAAAGATGGATTACAATCAGCACCACACCAGGTTACAGATTACAGCATTGCTGTGGTGTAAAAACACATGTAAATTGGACAGCTTTCTAAATGCGTCTTCAGTCTCATTCACCATCTCCTGACAGAATAACTGCCAGACCTGAAGAACCTCAGCACCCTCTCCCCTACATACAAGCAAACAGGCACCGCCAGATACATCCATGTCTGTATCAAAAACACATATCTTAGGACTCAAACTTCAATTGTTTCATGTAAGGAGAATGAAGACAAATAAATAAAATCTCACCGTTTTTCTGTACCAGACATGAAATAGGTATAGCCACTGGCCATGAACAATGAGTGCCAGATACACAATAATGAACAAATGAACATGAATGGTTTTGGAAGCTTCACCAAGCTACGGCGGAACCACCGTGTTGCTAAAGTGAAAGCTATAACCATGCAGATCACCATAATTACACTGGTGATGCCCTCCACTCCTTTGACCAATGTAAAATATGTTGGCTTTATTTTCCCAAAGTACTGCCCCAGATGAGCATACTTCTCATTTGATGATTTTATAAGCCGCGGAAAATCACATACAAGGTGGTTCCATGGAGAAGCAAAACTGACAATCCGAAGCTGATGGCATCTCCTTTCAATCCGAAGCTGATATCATCTCCTCTCAATCCGAATTGATATCATCTCCTCTCAATTCAGCTGCTTCAGGTCATAGTACAGGCAGTAGCCATCAACAACAAGCTCAAAATCCTCAACATCCCACTTGGCAATGGCTGTGCTGATCCATTCATCAATATTCTCATGCCAACGACCTAGCATTTGGAGTCTCAGTTTCTGGACAGGCCGGCGTTGACGCACATCCTTTGGAGCCAGAAGAAATGCATTCGCCTGCTTGACATCAGAGGAACTTAAGTAAGCAAAATTGTAAGTCTGTTGATTCATACTGAAAAGGGGAAACAACCAAGCGGAGCACACAAGGCGGCGGCAAATCGCGCGAAGGGGCGAAGGGGTGTCGGCGCCCTCATCAGGCGGCGGAGGGCCACGAGCGGAGGAGCCCTCACAGGCCGGCGGAGGGCCCACGGGCGGCGGGAGATTTGCGCCGGGCGAACCAGGGGCGCATGGCCACAGCGGCGAACCAGGGGCGTGGCGCCGTCCTGGGGGCTGGGGCGACGCGCACGGGGCTGGGAGAAAACGAAGCCTGGCGGCGGCGATGGATTCCTGGCGGTGCAGTCGCGGCTCGCTCGTGACTGGGAGAAAACGAAACCTGGCGCAAAAAAGGCCGGCAGGTGGGAGGGTTTAGGCGCAAAATCGTCTCACCTCTTACCTCAGATCAGCATCTGCTCACTCGGTGACGAATTCTCGTCGCTTGCAAGCCCCCTGGCCCAACATTTAAATGGGCTATACTTGGACGAGGCCCTGGCCTGTTTGATGTACTATTGGTACACGGGCTCTTCTGATTGACATTTTCATTTAGCCCGCTCTGTTATCTTCATTCTATTCGTTGGAGGCCTTCTCCGTTTTTTTTTCTGCGAAATTCGTGCGATTCATTTCATTCATCACATAAATAAATATTATAATACCTGAAAAATTAATATTAGCCCTTTCCGTGAAAACTCTCGCTCAAGAACCTCGTCACACATCGACACTGAATGCATGGTATCACAAAGTATATATGGTTCAAAAAAAATGGTCGGACATGCATGACTCAAGACATACTCATGGCCAATATATGCACCAGAGTAGATCACTAAACGAATAAAATACGTAGCACATTTTACAAAAAAAAAAGATTACTAGTAGTACCAAATTAAAGATGCCAAAATGGGAACTAGACGGATCGCCGCCGATCGAATAGGCGTCCGTCCACGCATGAATATTGACGCATCTCGCTGATCGAGCGGTTGTGATGATTGATTAGTAGTTGACGGCGGAGCACTTGTGGCGGACTTCGCCCTCGTTTCCGGTGAGCACCTGGACCTCGCCGAGGCGGCGCATGGACTGGGCGAACTGGCCGACGAAGGCCTGGGACTTCTGGTCGGCGTAGGACCTGACGAACCCACCCGTCCGGGAGTCCGCGAGCAGCTTCTGGTCCGTGTCCAGCAGCCCCTTCCCGTGCAGCAGGTTCTTGTAGTACTGGTTGTCGAACGCCGTGGGCGTCTCGCCGTCCAGCTCCACGTACTCCGCGTCGCCGCCGGCGACGCACTTGCGCTGCAGGAAGTCGCCGTACTGCCAGTTCAGCGTGCCTGCCTTCAGGCGGCCCAACAGCCCCGGCCTCACCGCGCCGCACGTCGCGCGCCCGATCGTGTGAGCTCCTGCACGCATGCATGCATGTCACTGTATGTCAGTGTGTGTGTGTATGTACACGACCGATGCATTGCACGCACTCACGACTCAGGAGTCAGGACTCACCGGAGAGGGCGACGAGGTCTTGGATGTTGAGCCCGTTCTTCTCGAAGAAGGCGATGAGCTGGTTGACGCTCTGGCCGTTCATGGGGACGTCGCGGTCGGCCGTGCCGGCGCTGAAGTACCCCTTCCGGTCCTTGCGCCCGTACTTGAGCGACCAGTAGGGGCCCCTGACCGCGAGCGAGGCGACGGCGTCGCGGGCGGCGGCGGTGAGGATGTCAGCGCAGGAGACGGTGGCGTGGCACTTGGCCTCCAGCTCCTTCTTGATCTCCTCGATCAGCTCGAACCCGCGCAGCGTCCTGCTCGCCTGCGCGTACTTCTCGCTCTGCCCGGGCACGTCTATCAGGACCGACCCGTCCACGCCCTGCACGGACCGGCCGCCGGCGACACCACAAGCTCCACCATGTCAATTCGATTCACCGACGACAAACTAGCTTAGTAAAGCTGGTGACGAACGAAAGATACGTACCCCGACGGCGAAGTCGTGGAAGAAGAGGCGGATGATGCTGGCCGCGAGGGTCTCGTCGGCTTTCACGGCCTTCATCACGGCCGTCCCGACGATCTCCTCCATTTTCGGGCACGACTTCTCGTAGTACCTCTCGTCGAGTCCGGCCACGGACTCCTGGTACGCCGGCACCTTGTAGCTGCCTTCCTGGCCGCCGTTCGAAACGGCCGCAGCGCCGTCGCTGCCACCGCCGCCGCCGTAACCGTTGGAACCCGCTTGATGAGCGTCGTGGCCGCCAGCATAGCCCTTCTCCCCATGTGAAGCGCCGCCGCTGCCGTAACCTTTGGAACCCGCTGCAGCGTCGTGTCCGCCAGCATAGCCGTTCCCCCCAGGCGAATTAGCGCCGTCGCCGCCGTAGCCGGTCGCGGCCACCGAGACGGCGAGCAGGAGTAGGAGGCCGGAGAGGGCGAGGAACGAGACAGCCCGCGGCGTCCTCATTTTGCTCTGTCGATCGATCGCCGGAGGGTGGACCTGAGGCTTCTAGTTCTAGCTGGATGGCATTGACCTGGGGTTCCATTGCGGCAGCATACTCTTTATACTACTGGTAAAGCAGCTAGCTAGCTCCCCGTACATGCAGGCACGTACTCCTAGCAGCTTACAACGACGTGAGGAGCAACACATACAGCATTTTGATCGACGATACATAGATGGTTTGCACGTAGGCGGTGGTTGTTGGTGGAGGCTTGGAGCAATCCAATTATATTCTTCAATTGTTGTCGGCATTTATTTGAAAAAAAGGAAGCGTGTCCATTGCAGATCCATAATGAGGCCCTGACTTCTGTTAGTGTTAGAGCTTCACTTGCAGCAATCCACATCGTGTCAGCAACTCCCATGTTGCTGCTAAACACAAAAGTCAAAGGCACACAGACACATTGCAATTTCCTATTGGCTCCTGCAGACACAGCTTGGTAGCATATGTTAGATTGATCTCCACCGATTGACCAATTTGGGCTCTTGATCCACGCTCTGATCGGGGGCGTCCAACCGCTCCATGGTTGATGGGCCCCCGTCGCACAGCGCCATAAAAAGGGAGGAGGGGGGCCGAGACACAAGACACGAGGTTCACCTGAGCCGCCAAACACCCCACCTACATCCTAACCCTAGCCGATCTAGAGAGGGGGCGTTGCCAGCGACGGGAAGCTCCGCCACCGGCCACCGCCGCCTCTGCACCGTCGCCACTGCGACAACGCCTTCATCGCCGGGCTTCACCACGCCACCGACAAGCAACCCCATGGCCAGCTCGTCTTCTACGAAGGCGGCCGATGGTTTGCAACTCCGCACCCTCTCTTTCTCCCTCTATCTCTAAATCCCGTACTACTTCATGTTCTAGGACTCGCTATTTATCCTAAATGTCAGTATACATGCTAGATCTATGGCTAGATGATCCTGTAACAATCTATCAATGATATCGGAGTCTAACTAGGCATAGATCTAGCTTATCAAGGTAGAAATCCGAGAAGAAGAAATTAGAAGGAGGTGACTCAAATCGGATCGAACTCCAACCCAAAACCCTAACCCTAACCCTAACCTAACCTTAGAAGAATGGACGGAGAGGGGAAGAGACCTACCCGGTTTTTCTCGCCGCCGTCACCACCGTCGTCGAGCGGGAAGAAACTCCGCCGCCGCCTCGCCGGCACGCGAGGAGATAGTCGAGCTGCGCTCGTCGCCGTGCGCGCGAGCCCCGGGCGAGGGCACTGTCACAGGACCGCTCGACGGCGCCACGCTCACCCATTGGGAAGCGCGCGCTCCAGCGAGGGGACCCATGGCGGCGCCAATAAGATCTAGGGTTTAGGGAGAGTCTCCACCGCAGCGCGTGTGGGAGCGCAAAGTGCACCACCGCAGTGCCGCTCGACGGCACCGAATGCGGATCAAGCCCCACGCGTGGACCGACGAAGGGCACCACGGCGGCGCCACCACGCTCCTCTCTCGGGCCGTCGTGGTTCGGAGTGAGAGTGGGAGAGAGAGCTGACACCGCGGCGAAGAGAGAGAAGAGCAAGTGAAGAATGACCTAGGGTTCAGGCGCATGGCCGCGTGTGGTGTTTTTATACCCGCGAGAACGACGGACGTCCGTCAGATCAAGATGGACGGCTCTGATTGAACGGGCCACATCCGGCCCAGGCGGGGAAGGAGATTCTCGGCCCAGGCCCAGGTTGCAGCCTGGGTGCGGGGGAGCGGCACAAGACTCTCTCTGTTGGGCATTCACTGAGCCCACAGCCTTGATGGCAAAGAAAACATTCGCCATTGGGGCGAAAGTAATCGCTTTTCAACGTTTGGCCAAATGAACAGTAGAACTGTGTTATTGTTTTATTCATTTTCAGAAGCAAATTTTGATGATTTTTTGTCTAGTTTCAATCTCTGTCAAAATTTGAACCAAGGGGATAATTTTTTCAGAGAGTAGATTAGTACAGTTAAATGCTTCTGAAAAGTAGATAAATAATTTTTTCATGTTTCCGCTGCAATGTTAAAGTTTATTATCTTCTAATTAAATTCAAAGCAACGGGAGAATTTAATTTGAAGAGTAGTCATTTTTAGGCAGTAAATTATAATATTATTATTTTTCGACCAACGTTGATAATAGCAATATTATAATGTTTATTCATAAGTTTTCCACGCATTAATTCTATTTCTACCCAACGATGATGTAGAATTAGTGTATAAGAATGTTGTATGTTTTAAGTTTGACCAACGTTAAATTAAAGCATGCAATTATGATGTCATATTTTCTCACTATCCCTGACGGTGTTTTTTAGGACTCAACCCAATTGCTTTTATCTTGCACATACCGCCTCTTGAAGGGGGCAACTACAGGGTATGGCGAGAGAAGTATGAAGTAACACTTACGCTGTCTGAAAAATGACCTAGCGCTTACCTCCCCATGTCCGACTGAGCCAGTACCGGCAGCGAGATCGTGCAGAAGTGCGGATGAAATATGATCTCAAACGCAGGAAATGGGACATTTCAAACCGCAAGTGCTTGATGGTGGCTAAGTCCACTATTTCAGATGCGATAAGAGGGTATATCCTAGATTGTGATACCGCCACAGAGTATCTTAAGAAAGTGGAGAGTCAGTTCACTGGCTCTTCAAAGGCTTATGCCTATACTTTGATCAAGAAATTGTTAAATGACAAATACACTGGTGGCGGTATCAGAGAGCACATACTGAAGATGAGCAACACGACTTCGAAGCTGAAGCCAGTAGATTTGGGGCTCAAGGATGAGTTCCTTATTCATTTGGTTTTTGCTTTCTTGCCCACAGAATATGAAACTTTTGTTGTGAACTACAACATGTAGCCCGATAAATGGAATACAGAGAAGCTCATTGCAATATGTGTTCAAGAAGAGGAGAGGTTGAAAAGCTCACAGGGTGACTCTGCTAACCTTGCGAAGGACAACAAAAAGAAGAACTTCAACAAGAATGCCAAACCTCAAGGGAAAGCCCCTCAGAATGACCACCATCAGAAGAATAACAATGCTCAAGTTGAAAAGGATCAATGTAAATAGTGCAAGAAGCATGGACATTACCAGAGGGACTATCCATACTTACTGAAGAGCCTTCTGAAGAGAGGTGATGATTTCATTACATTCATAGATGAATCCTTGTATTTAAGTTATGCAAAATCTACTTGGTGGATTGATTCAGGTGTAACTGTTCATGTTGCAAATTCATTACAAGAATTTTATACGAGGAGGACCCTGCAAAGAGGAGAAAGAAGAATTAAAGTTGCAAATGGAGTTGAAGCTGAAGCTGAAGCCATTGGAGATCTCTCTCTAGAATTAGATGATAGTTTTAGACTACAGCTTTTAGATATTCTTTATGTACCCTCTTTGCGTAAAAACTTGATAAGTGTCTCACGACTAGATGATGATGGATATGATTGTCATTTTGGTAATGACAAATGTCGGATTATGAATAATAATAAGTGTGTTGGTCTTGCCTTCCGACAAGACAAGCTTTATTTATTATCACTTTCTGAGAATGTGAATGATGTGAGCACTGAGAATGAGAATGCTTCCTCGTCTATAAATGTAACAAATAAGCGGAAGAGAGTGCATGATGTATCTTCGAAATTATAGCACTGTCGTTTAGGCCATATTTCGAGAAGGAGAATAGAGCGATTGATTAAAAAATCAATTCTTCCGCCTTTAGAATTTTCAGATTTAGAGCAATGCATTGATTGCATAAAAGGAAAGTACGTTAAGAAAATAAAGAAACGTGCCAAACGAAGCGCAAGAATTTTAGAAATAGTTCACATAGACATCTGTGGTCCTTTTCCTGTGAAGAGTGTGGATGGTTATGATTCATTTATAACATTCACAGATGACTATTCTCGTTTTGGCTATATTTATCCAATTAAGGAAAGATCGGAAGCATTGAATAAATTTAAGATATTCAAGGCTGAAGTAGAAAATCAGCATAACTTAAAGATTAAGGTAGTAAGGTCCGATCGTGGGGGAGAGTACTACGGTCGACACACCCCATATGGCCAAATTCCTAGACCCTTTGCAAGGTTCTTACAGGAAAATGACATAGTTGTCCAGTATTCTACACCGGGCGAGCCTCAGCAGAATGGAGTAGCTGAAAGGCGCAACTGTACCTTAATGGATATGGTGAGAAGCATGATAAGTTACTCTACCCTACTGATAAGTTTATGAATGGAGGCGTTAAAAACCGTCATTCATATTCTTAATCGAGTGCCAAGCAAGTCGGTGCCCAAAACACTGTATGAGTTGTGGACAAGAAAGGAACCCTCACTTAACTATTTACGTGTGTGGGGATGTCCAGCTAAGGCAAAAGTCTTTAACCCAAACATAGAGAAGTTAGACTCCAAGACGGTCAGTTGTCATTTCATTGGCTATCCGGAAAAGTTAAAAGATTATCGCTTCTATTGTCCTAACAGACAAATGAAGTTTATAGAAATAAGACATGATGTCTTCTTGGAGGATGATATGATTAGGGGGAGCATGGTAGCCCGAGAAATTAGTTTTGAAGAGAAGCGGGTATACATGCTCACTCCTATGGTTCAGGAGCCATTCTTCACGCTACCTGTTGTTGTACCAACAGTGCAAGACACTGTAGTAACAGCACCTGTTGTTAGTTCTCCTATGGCAACAATGAATGAATATGAGGAATCTACCCTATAGGATCCCCTAGAACCTGTTGTCACACATGAGGGAGAGTAACAACAGCCTCATATAGAACAAGCGTCATCTAACGAGGCCCCTAGAAGGTCTCAAAAAGTCAGGAGATCAACCATTCCTGATGATTACGAAGTTTATGAATGTGAGAAATTTTAAATGGAGGGTGATCTCACCTCATTTGAAGAAGCCATGAGAAGCGCTCACTTATCCAAGTGGCTTGAAGCCATGGAAGATGAAATAAAATCAATGAAAACCAACGGTGTTTGGGACTTAGAAACAATTCCTAAAAGAGCAAAGATAGTAGGCTGTAAATGGATCTACAAAACTAAACATGACTCCAAAGAGAATATAGAAAGATTTAAAGCGCGACTTGTGGTGAAAGGTTTCACGCAAAGTGAAGGCATAGATTACAATGAGACATTTTCTCCAGTCTCATGTAAGAATTCTTTTAGAATCATAATGGCGCTTGTAGCACATTACGATTTAGAATTACATCAGATGGATGTAAAGACGGCGTTCGTAAAAGGGGATTTAGAGGAAAATGTTTACATGGCACAATTGAAAGATTTTGTTGTGGAAGGAAAAGAACGTATGGGATGCCGCTTGAAGAAATCCATTTACGGATTAAAACAAACTTCAAGACAGTGGTATTTGAAGTTTAATAGTACAATAAGAAAGTTTGGGTTTTAAGAAAACGTAGAGGACAATTGCGTTTATGCAAAGTTCAAGAATGGAAAATATATTTTCCTAGTCTTGTATGTGGATGACATCTTGCTCGCTAGTAATGATGTTAATCTACTACTAGAAACAAAGAAGTTCTTGTCCTCGAAGTTTGATATGAACGATCTCGGTAAAGCTACGTTCGTCCTAGAAATAGAGATTCACCGAGATAGAGAAAAAGAGGTTTTAGGATTATCACAAAAAGCATACTTAGAAAAAGTTCTAAAGAAATACAGTATGCAAAATTGTAAGTCTTCACCAGCTTCCATAGTCAAGGGCGATAGATATAGAGAATTTCAATGTCCTAGGAACCAATATGAGATCGATCAAATAAAAGTGGTTCCATATAGTTCAGCTGTCGAAAGTTTACAGTATGCTCAAGTGTGTACTCGCCCTGACTTAGCATTTGTTACCGTGTTACTTGGCAGATATCAGAATAATCCAGGAATAGAACACTGGAAATTAGTAAAAAAAGTTTTGCGTTACCTGCAAGGTACGAAGGGTCTCAGGCTAACGTACAGAAGATCTGATTCCCTGCACATAGAGGGGTATACATATTCTGATTATGCGGGAGATGGCAGAAAATCCACGTCAGGATACATATTCACTCTCGCAGGAGGAGCTATATCATAGAAAAGTTCAAAGCAAACCGTCACTACATCGTCCACAATGTATGCCGAGTTTGTAGCATATTATGAGGCCACAGGGTAGGTGAATTGGCTGAAGAAATTCATGTCCGGGTTGAAAGTGGTAGACGACATACATAAGCCACTCAAGTTATACTGCGATAATAATCCAGCAATATGTTATGCTCACAACAATAAGTCAAGTGATGTTGCCAAACACATTGACATAAAGTATTATGTTGTGAAAGACAAAGTATGGGATCATATAATTAGTCTTGAGCATATAAGAACAGAAAAGATGCTCGCGGATCCGCTTACAAAAGGCTTACCACCCAGCGTGTTCAGAGAACACTTAGCCGGCATGGGTTTAAGGGAAAGACTATGATTCCTGGACAATAAGGGCCTAATTGAGAATCTGTTTCAAAACAGAGAGGTGCATTGTAGCTGTTTAATCTAATGGCAATAGACCGTGATGATGAGGCACGCTCTATGCACTGATCTGTGATAGAATGGGAACAAGATAAAGTAAGTTAAGTTTAAGTCATAAGGTGACATCAAAGGACAGCCAATTGGGCCCTTGGATCCGCGCCCTGATCAGAGGCGCCCAATCACTCCATGGTTGGTGACCCCCCGTCACATAGCGCCATAAAAAGGGAGGTGGGGGCCAGGGCAAAGCACGAGGTTCACCTGAGCCGCCAAACACCCCACCTACATCCTAACCCTAGCCGATCTAGAGAGGGGGCGCTGCCAGCGACGGGATGCTCCGCCACCGGCCACCGCGACAGCGCCTTCACCGCCGGGCTTCACCGCGCCAACTGACAAGCAACCCCATGGCCAGCTCGTCTTCTACGAAAGCGGCCGATGGTTTGCACCTCCGCACCCCCTCTCTCTCCCTCTATCTCTAAATCCCGTACTACTTCATATCTTAGGACTCGCTATTTATCCCAAATGTCAGTATACATGCTAGATCTATGGCTAGATGATCTTGTAACAATCTATCAGCAGAATGTTAATTCAGGGTAGACACTGGTGCTGGTCTCACCTGAAGAGAAAAATGGCAAGAGAATGAGATCACTAGGGGTGGGTGTTTTGGGGAGAGGTATTTCGCCGGGACTCATGAATTCAGTTCAAATCTGCAGTGAATGAAATGTCAATAGTGTTGTCTGGGCCAAAACATGCTCCATGCATCTGTTGGTCCATACATGCGACTTAGTTTCAAACAAACAAAATGGATTCGACCTGTTATAGCATCCGTATATCATCAGTGGAACTTTACAGTGATGTTAAAATATACAGGGTCAAGAATACAAGTGGGGAAAATGCTCCCCTCTATATGAAACAAGCTGCAGAAAAAGGCCTAAAAACAGCTTTCAGCAAAACTCTATTCTACTAGTGGGTTCATGCTTCATACTCATATCCCGAAAAAAAAAAGAATGAAGTTAGGGATAATTTCTCAGGTGAGCTCTTGAGTTTTATTTCTCAGACTAGTTCTCAACTGCTTCAAGACTGGACGCTAGCAAATCATTCCATGTGTCCGTTGGTCCTGGCAAAGACCAATGCATGCAATCATCAGCTCTGAATTCACTCACGCGAGTGATGTCCAGAACTCTGAAACTAGACTGTTCAAGAGCCTTCACTAAGTGTTGGTTTACCAATCGTGCTTCTACATTGGTGCTGTTATTGTCCAAAGAGAAAAATTCTTCCACCTGAACAGATTTGCCTCAATATGTTAGTCTAAGTAAAAAAAAAACAGATTTTGCCAGAAACAGTGTCATTCAGATCCAGTAACCTTAAAAAGCTGAATAAGGGTTGAGCCATATTATCTTCAATAAACATTTTCTCATTCTTTATATTACAATTGTCCTACCACCCAAATCCATGTCAGCATATTATGCATGATGTTGGAACAAAAATTGAAGAAACAGAAAGCTTGCATGAGGTGAAAAGTTTGCTATTTAAGCATTTCGTGCATTTAGTATCATATCAGTACCTCTTCTGACGACAAGGGCTGGTTACGTTGGCAAGATCCACCTTCATTCCAGTCACCACCTTCGAAATGTCTAGGAGATAGTCCGGAAGAATTTCACTGTGTTTGGTCTCATTGCTTTGTTTGCAAACATTATCTGATGGAAATTATTTATTCAGAGCATATGAAAGATAAGTTGAATGCCATTCTGATAGACATACATAGGGAATTTTTGGTCTTTTTAAGAGATACAAGTATCATAAATCCATTCAGATCAAATTCACATGGTAAAGAATATTAAAAGAACTGGCAAAATTCGTCAATTAGTTGAAGTACAGAAGTACAATATCCATATGCCATGGCAGTGTATAATAACACACTTGTTTATTTGTCAATTGATCATGCCAATAACTTAAATCATAAAATGCCATTAGTTTGGCATCAAGCTGTAGAACTGCTGATTTAATGCTTATTTGTTCATGAACAGTGAAATTCACAGATTCACGTACCAATGCCCAGTGTTGAAAATAAGAACATCATGGAAGCTACATGCCTCTACCCATGTTTGGTCAGGAATATCCACATCAACTCTGTAACCTTGCTTATATCCAAGAGATTCTAGAGTGCCTCCATTTGGATTCGCTGACCACCTACAAAATGAGGGATATGGAGTTCAATAAAAAATGACGAATTAGAAGGACAAAAGTATCGCCATGAACAAAAAAGTTCTGACTTCTGAATCAGCGTCTAATTCACATAAAAAAAAAACTCGAAGGAATCAAATAGGAAAAAATAAAGAGACACAGTGACTGATAAGAGCATGGTTCTATTAACATTAACCCACTATTTATTAAACCAGGTAGCAAGAATGGCCGACTGGGAGGTATTTCAAAATTTTCAGTGCTTCCAAGTTACACCTAGAGTTCTAAACTGGAAGCAAGATATGCAAAGATGAAATAAAATTCTGGCATAAATAACAATACAAGTAGGTCATACATCTAAATAACCATTTTTTATGCTAATCCAAATGAAATGACACTTCTTACCATCCATAGCGTACCAAGAGATTTGTCCTGTGGTATGCCACGGTGAGGTTATAGCGCAGGAAGGTGAAGCCACGGTCTACCCCTGCAGGACGTCATTTGCGAACCTCGCTACTGACTCCCCTGAGCATGCAGACTAATGAGGCAAACATGTTGCGGTTCAAGGAATCACCCACAAAACCTGCAATAAAGGTATCAGACAACCGTCAGCATAGCAAGGCAAATTTCGGAGACTCTAAATCTATGAGCTCGCAACAGGCAGAAAATTTGAGTACACTTACTGCCTCAGAATTTGGAAGTGTGAATGAACCTTGCTTCTACCATGTGGCAATTCTAATAATCTAATTAGAAGCATGTCGCAGAATGGAAACAATGGAACATGCAACCATAGCGCCACATAACAACTCTAGAAGATGGAAACTGGAAAATATGAAACACGTATGCAAATTAGCTTATGAGATGTATAAGTAACTAACAAATGCATATTAATGTGCCCATGTTTGGAGGTTACTCCCACCCCCAACCAGACCACCAAGCAAAGGAAGGCATGCAATCACATTACTCGCGTGCTGACCATTGTATAACTAAGTGGAACGCACCACGCATCGTCGCCACATTCTACACACCCGATAATCCTAGCTCCCGGATCAATTCCTTTGAAAACCACGCGACCACAGCACCTTGTCCCCACCAAGTCGCATCGCATGTCAATCTTCTCAGGCATTTTTCGGAAACAATAAAACGGGAGCGGGGAAGTTACCGATACTGGTGTCCCTGTGGTGCTCCAGGAACCGGCGCGGGACGAGGCGAGGGAGCTCGCACCCGGGCCCAGCGGGCGTCCACCGCCAACCGAGCAGGTCGCGGGCATTGGCCTTGCCATTGGCGATGCAGTTCCAGCCCTTGAAGATCTCCTTGCAGGTGTCGTAGTAGCGGAGCGAGGAGCCCGCGACGGGGTCGCGCACCCACTCGCCGGCGGAGTAGTCGCAGGCCTGGGACCGGGAGGAGGGCTTGCGGGGCGCCGGGGGGAGGGGCCGAGGCGAGGTGGAGGAGGAGCAGCAGAAGGGGAAGCAGGAGGAGAGCGAGGACGAGGGCGCGCCGCCGAGGCCCCGTGGTCGGGCTCCTCGCCGGCGGCGGCATGGGAGGCGGCGAGGCGGCCAGGCGGGCGAGGTTGGGCGAGCGAAGCAGATCGGTGCGTTGCGCGGTGGGCCTACACTACACAGGTCGTGCCGAGGAACTTTGCTGGGCCAAAGGAGGAAGAAGGGACAAGTACCGGGCCTTAACAGGCCGAGTTTGGGCTGGAACTAGACATTAGTGTGGGCCAATTTCGTGAGCGTCTTTTACTTCTCCGGACGTGCACAAGAATTGAAGTCTGAAGACGCAGCAGAACGGAAAATGTTCCTCCTGTTCCTTGTCCTTGGTCCTCATCAGAAACCATCATTTTAGAAAAAAGGAATTTTGTTTCGGTCTCTGCATATTATTACACACCAATACGTAGTAGAGCCCTAGACAAGTTATTTAGTGATCTCGATCGCAAAATAAAAAAGGCATTGTTGATTACTCGGCGATGATGCATGTGTTGGTGTGATTTGTGCAAAGCTACACAAAAAGTGCTTCTTGCTTCAGAATAGTTGCTGTGGTGTACTTGTAAGTAAAGCCTTGCGGAGATGGAGATAAAATGGAGTGCTGGAAGCAGAGAACTAGCAGCCAGCAGAGTACAGTACCGTACGGCAACGCAACGAGATGGTGAAGGCAGGCTGGCTGGACCGTCGTGGTAGCATTAGCATCCTAGAAGCTAGCTGGCGTACGCCATACGGTGTCATGCCTACGTATGTACGTAGTCAGCGACTCGCCGGCCGGCATTGCGTGGAAGCTAGCAGTAGCGAGTAGCCTGCAGCTCCAAGCAGGACAGGAATAATGCCGCATACGTTTGCCTCGATCGTTTGGCTACTCACAACAAATCAGCAAATAGTATTTTCAGCTATAGCTTCTCAGCCAAGCGAACAGAGCAGTTGGTTGGTTGGTCAGTCCATGCTGATGCAACCTTAAATCATCGTGGCTCGCCTCTGCATGCATCCGGCCGGTTTGGACTAGTCTGTCTACAGTTCTACGCCCTGTGAGGATGGACCAACCGCCCCCACAAACACGGCAAGTAGGACCCCCGACGACAGCATCGCCACCAGGTTCCACGAGACATTCGCTGATCCCCTGTCGTCCTCCAAGCAGGCGGCCATGAGGGAGCTCTTCCCCAAGAAGGGCCATCGTCGGGGCTGGGCGGCGGCTACGTCGCAGTGATAGCACCTTTGGACTACCTCCGTCGCCTTATTAACAGCCTGTCTTCCTTGTCTAGTCTCAGCTTGTTTCAACTTATTCTCTCTCACAGAACACTATTGAATCAGTCGAAATAAGTTCAAAATGTGACCAGCCGAACACACCTTTTCTTAGTTACATCCAAGTGTACCCCACCGTTTAGCGGTGTCTTGTGTTTGTGTTCACCCACCACATTTGGTACCTCGCCATATAATGGTGTTGGGCGTGTACTTAAACTCTAACTTCTCTTAATGAAATATGTGCTATGCACGTTCTCGAAAAAAAAAAGTTCTACACCCTACGTACGAATCCACCGTATCTAGTACCAAACTTTGTATTACCATCTACAAACAAAGAGCTAGGCGCCGCTAACTCTGTTCGTGCCCGTGACTGGACAGCGAAGGCGTTGATGACGACCTTGTTCTACGGTTGACCATCACCATACTTGTCAGGTACGCTAGGAGTTGTTTGTTGTTGAAATGCATGCAATAACTGAACATGGACTCGCTGCAGCGCCCATTTACACTGAAACTACTAATAAAACTGGTGGCTAACTATGAGTACAACAACATTACAGTACAGCATTAGCAGTGTAGTAGTTGAGATGCTGGGGCGGCCAAACGCATGGGCATCTGCTAGCTGCATGCGTGCGTGCAATCCGTCGGAGTATCGGACCAACCCCAAGACCTGCAATCTCCATTCTTCTTAAAACTGGCGATCGATCGAGGACATCGCCGTCAGCATTTTAACTAGTGTATTAGTGTTGGTTCTGGCGCCAGTCAGTCAAGCTTTCTGAGCTCAACAAGCAACGACAGATGACGACGAGCTCCATCAGCATTCGATTCAGCTCCCCCGTCCTGTCCCTGTGACAGAATTTCTAGAACGTCCAGGTACAAATGAGTGGGTAAATTGTTTAACTTAATAGGCTTGGTGATATATCTTGCCACATGCAGTCGCCGCCATAGCACCGCCGTCATGGTGGCCGTGACGTGTCGGAGTAGGAGAAGCCGTGCAAGCGTCCGCTAGGTCGTCGACTGTAGCAGCAGCGTAGGCGCGGATCAGTGGTGGCGGTGAAGGCGATGGGGCTTTCCGTCGCTCACAGCGCTCCTCTCGATCGGTCTAGGGTTAGGAACTTCAGGGTGGGGCTGGTGGCTACTGGTGACCTCATGTCTTGTGCCCCAGCCTCCACTGTCCTTTTATGGCGCTGTGCGACGGGGGGCCATCAACCAGGAGAATTGACTGAGCGCCCCCGATCTGGGCGCGAATCAAGTGCCCAATTAGTCGTTGGGCCAACTGGTGGAGATCATCCTAACATTCTCTCACTTGATCTCACCTTATGACTTAAACTTAACTTACTTTATCTTTTTCCCATTCCATCACAGATCAGTGCATAGAGCGTGCCTCATCGTCATGGTCAGTTGCCACTAGATTAAACAGTTACAATGCACCTCTCTGTTTTAAAACAGATTCCCAACTAGGCCCTTAGTATCCAGAAATCATAGGCTTTCCCGTAAACCCATGTCGACTGTGTGTTCTCTAAACGTATTGGGTGGTTATCCTTTGGTAAGCGGATCCGCAAGTACTTGCTTGGTACTCATATGCTCAATGCTTTCAAAATGATTCTGGATTTTCTCCTTTACACCATATAACCCAATGTCAATGTGTTTGACAGCACACTTGACCTGTTGTCTTAGGAGTTAACTACTTTAAATGGTTATTACTGTTGACTACCATTGTTAAATCCAGGTACTAATTCCCTTAACCTCCTTTTGCATGCTCCTTAAGCCTCATGTCAAGCTATAATATGGTATGCATCACTGATGACACCACAACTGTTTCTTTGGAGCTTTTCCACAATAATACCCCAACTGCGAGGGTTAGCAACTACTGTGGATTTCACTACATATCTCGCCAAGACTTAACATTTGTTCCTTCAACTATTTGAGAGTACTTGTTATTTCTTACTCAACATGAGACATATGATACTTTGCAAAATTACAAGACATTCTCAACTCTATTCCAGTGATCTATATCTGGACTGGACTTCTGCCAAAATATCCCGGATACGTTAATTACGACAGGATAAGTTCTTACTTGTACTTGTACACTCATCAAGCTTCCAACAGCCGAAGCATATGAAACCATGTTCATTTGATCGATCTCATATCGGTTTTTGGAACACTTAAAGTTCTCAAATTTATTACCCTTGACTATAGGAGCAGACGTAGGTTTACTCGCATGCATACTTTATTTCTTTAGAATCTTTTCTAAGTATGTCTTTATGATAGTCCTAATACCTCATTTTCTTCTATCTCGATAAATTTCAATTCCTAAAACTGATGATGCTTAACCAAGATTATTCATATTGAAACTTGAGGACAAAAACTTTATCTTCTCCAATGACAGATTAATGATACTACTTGTGAGTAGAATGTCATCTATTCACAGGATGTGGAAAATGAATTTTCCATTCTTGAACTTCGCATAAACGCTATTGTCCTTCTTATTTTCTTTAAAACCCAAACTTTCTCATTGTTTCATCAACTTCAAATACTACTATCTTGTGACTTGTTTTAACCCATAAATGAATTTTTACAAGCGGCATCTCATATTGTCGGATACCAGAAAATGGGGTACCCCAAGCAAAGATCGAAAAACTGCTTAGACCCTAAAAACAGAACCAACGAAATAAACAAACGATGTCTCGGCCGAAATCTCCGATTCGCCCGAGACCCCGTCGCCGAGCCCCAGCGGAAGCAAACGATTCTCCGACTCGCCCGAGACCGCCTCGCCGAGGCCCCCTCGTCGAGCCCCCCTCGCCCGGGGCCTCGGAAGAAGTGCCGATTCTCCGATTCGCGTGAGGCCGGCTCGGGACCAGCCCCGTGACCGCCTCTTCGACCAAACTGCTCTGACCGAACGTCGCATCCAAGCGCCCAACCACTCCGACAGACGCACGATGGCCCAGTACAGCGAAGTGGCCGACTACACGCCAGTCGCGTCAACCTCCTGCCATCTGCGACGGCACAGACCAGGGGTTACCGACCATTGTCTTTGCCTAACTCCTGCACCAAGGACATCGCAAGCGTGGGGAGTCAGAACGGGTTCCTGTAGCCTCGGAATCAGCGGACCGACCGCTCTATCTCGCCCGAGCCCCCTCGACAGGGCCTCGGATTCATTGATCTTACTCCGCCTCGCCCGTCTGCCTCGCCCGAGACCTCCCCGGTAGGGCCTCGGACGAATTGGCGCTTCCGCCTCGCCCGAGGCCGGGCTTGTCCCGCAACCTCGTCGCCTCCGCCTCAAAGGTCTCTCTCCGTAGGTCATCACATCCGATTAATCGCGCCACCGCACCCACTCGTAAGCCACGATCGGCGGTGTCTTTGCAATAGGAGCGACGGACAACGGTCGAGATCACCTTTTTACCATCCCTTATTGACAATACAGGTACCGTATCCCAGTAGGGCGCCGTCTCTCTCACTATTCCGCCTGATGGTCACCGAGACATGCATCTACACAGGTCACTTCTCGGGCCTCGGCTGTGAGCCCTCGGCACGACCGGCTACGATGGCCGTCGAG